GTGCGTGTTTATTTGCTAAATTAATAAAAATACAAAAATATGTCGCATTTTGCATATAGGATTTAATTCTACAATTTTTAGTAATTAGATGTGTTAAACAAAAATTAAAAAATTACAAAAAATAGGCATCGTTTGCATTTTTAGCATTTAATGTCCAAATATACAATTTTATGCTTAATTATTANTATCCGCCCACAAATGTCGCTGGTAAGGGATGAAATTTCCATGAAATACAAACTAAAAGGGAAAATTCTCTCATCACAGAGATCAATATTGTACCTTTTGATCCATATACGCATTTCATAGTCCTTCAAGATCCATATATCCACTACATAGTTAGAGATAAGCAAGTTACAGAAACACAAACTATCATCCTTCACCAAAAGAGTCATAGTTCGATGCCTTCGCTTTGAGTTGCACATGCTTCCAGGATGAGGGATAGTAGAGAGTTCTTCCTTATCCATTCTGAAAACCATGATTCCGTTTGCACAAGGAGGAATATCTTTCTTTTCTAAATCGTGGTCCATGATCCAATGCAATGCTCCACTCACAACTGCTGGAGTGTCACCAGATGACAAAAAGTTGAAAGAGGAGGACGAGCGAATTTTCCTCCATGTCCACTTCCTAAAAATATATACAAAATACTGACAACAACTGCCTCGTACTTGGGCATAAAGAAGCCTGAATTGTCTTGTGTATGGACAAAAATAAAGCGCACATAAGTAGCCGGGGTGAAGTGTATGTTGTACAGCTACTTCTTCTTGTGTTATCGGGTTAAAAGCATAATAAGTAGACTGCCACTTCAAGTCACCAAACAGAAGAACTCCTTGACAAGAGTACGTAAGAACAAGTTGGTGATCCCAATATTTATTAATCATAAGCTCAGGTCTGAGATATAGTTGCTTGAAGGCGACCTTCTTCTTATTATTAAGGTTTTCACCAACAACATAAAGATCTTGCCCGTGCTTGATAGTCAAATAATCCTGTAAGAGAATCAGGGGTCTACTAGCTCTACTGAGATCATCATATAAGGTGATAAAATAGTCATGTGATGAGACCAAAGCTCTCCAATGCCTACAAACCCATCTACATCTAAGAAGAGAATATGTTGGAAGTCTACTTAGAATATCAATGATGAGACAATCAGGCAAACGTTCGAAAGTTTCAGTAATTTCTTCTTCACCTTTCCATATTGCAGGAAATAGTGAACCCAACAGTTCTGTAGTCCATGTGAAGCATTCCAGTGCCATGGCCTATAATATAAAGCAGAAAATCAGAAAAATAATGGTTGCTTGGTATGACATCAAAATATGCATTGATTGATCGAAAGAGAAACTACAACTTTTATAATGAGCTCTTCCAGAATTTTCAGAGAGGTATAACCATATAATAATAATAATAATAGAATAAGAAGCTCAAATCATAAAATATGAACCACGATTGCACTAAATAGCATGGCCTAATCATCAATAAAGTTGAAAAAAAACCATGAGGTCTCTCGTTCAAATTTTAGCAAAGACAAAAAATACTAGTTCGATGCTTTCGCTTTGAATTGCATACGCTCCCGGGATGAGGCATAGCAGAGAGTTCTTCCTTATCCATTTTGAAAATCATCATTCCGTTTGCACAAGGAGGAATATCTTTTCTTTCTAAATCGTGGACTATGATCCAATGCAAACCTCCATTCTGAAGTCTGAATTGTCTTGTGTATGGACGAAAATAAAGAGCACATAAGTAGCCGGGGTGAAGTGTATGTTGTACAGCTACTTCCACTTGTGTTATCGGGTTCAAAGCATAATAATAGACTGCCATCTATAATCAGCAAACAGAAGAACTCATCGACAAGAGTATATAAGAAAAAGTAGGTCTGAGATGAAGTTTCTTGAAGGCGGCCTTCTTTTTCTTATTATTAAGGTTTTCACCAACAAAATATAGATCCTGCCCATGCTTGGTAGTCGAATTATCCTGTAAGAGACTCAGAGGTCCACTACCTCTACTAAAATTATCATATAAGGTGGTAAAATAGTCATGTGATGAGACCAAAGCTCTCCAATGCCTACAAACCCACCTACATCTAAGAAGAAAATATGCTGGAAGTCTACTCATAATATCAATGATGAGACAATCAGGTAAACGCTCAAAAGTTTGAGTTAAAATGATAAAGACCACACACTGAGACATACTCGAAATCTTTAGTATAGGAACAAAGCTCAACGACAGAAAATGTATCTTTATCAATTGAAAAAGCTACAATATTCCTTCCCTAATATACTTTGGGACTCTGACCAAAGGTAAATGTCCCCCCATGGTGAAAATTAGTGGATAAAATTCTGCTATCACTAATAAAATGCAGTATCATATGCACACACAAACTAAATCAACCCTAGTTTTGCAACCAAATTTTAATAATACTCTAAATCAGAATATGACGATAAAGAAGGTTAAAAGAGAACTTATGTGTCTTGTTTTCTTCCCCACAAGCAACAATAGTCCACGAACCAGTAGATCCTCTTACAATTCTTCATCGACCAGCCCTAATCCACTTCGACTTTTAACTATTACGAACCATAATCGGCCTTTGAATCAGAAATTGAAGCTATTTTGTGAAAAAGGGAAGGAATATTCAAGCAAGCATTCTAGCGAAACGATCCTTTGACAATAGGCTCTGACCAACACTGGGACTGACTTTATACAGAGGGATGAAAATTAGCCAAAAAAAAAAAGAATTTCTGGTAGTTGATCCATAATCAAAAAAGTATTTGTGATTGTTCTAGAAGAAATGAAACAAAAGATATGGTAGAGTTAGAATATTTATTGTATGATGTCTACTTAATGCTAGATGCAGAGGCATAGTAACATCATGTAAGAGCAGAAATGGGAGTAGGCCCCTCCATGGGATTAGGTAACCATACACGAAGGGGAAATTGGGCGAATTTAGCTCCTGATAATTGCGTCGTTGTGTGATCACGCCCAACTATGCCTTATAAAAAGGACAAAACGGACGTTGCAAATATAATCTGAGTATTTCGCCCAGAGTCGAACCCACAAGGAATTAACCTATCAATTACTCTTATCAGACTCACTAAATTCTACGTAATCAACTTCCCAAACGTTTTGAATCACAATTGAGGATATTTTTATTAACTATGACGGACTGCAATTAAGTAAATAAAGACTAACTATGATTAAGTTGTAAATAATTAAGAGAAGGATCAAAGGTTGTGATTTCTCCCATTGATAGAATCCCTTATGGTTATGTTTCATATAGATTTGCCTAACCGTCTCTATCAATCATGAGCACTCTTATTACTGTAAATCTCTCCCGAGTAATCACGACAATTTACTAGACGTACTCTCCCGAGTTACGCTAGCTGGCTTTTAATATAGCTCACTTTAGATCGCACCCAAAGCTTCGTTATCCCTAATCCCGCCTTTAAACCCTCGGTTATTGATCCCTCATATACTTTGGGAGTGATGTTGTTCAACAATTACCTAAATATGTACTCTCTCCCGAGTAATACATACTAAATAGGTATAACTAATTAAGGATCCTATCAATTAACTAAAACAAGAATGCAGTTGAACAAATAGAGATTAAACCGGACAATCTATATTAACAAAACGAGAAGTTCATCCTTCAATAGGTTCCATCAAAACCTTAGACTAAATATTTAGCTACTTATACTAGAGTTCATCATAACAAAAGCCAAATTCATCACAAATGGTAAAATACAAAAGGGGGAAATGAGGAACTCTATGTTGAAGTTTCCTCCTTGCCTCTTATTTCCCTCCTCTTGAACTCAGCTATCCAAACCTTGATAATACTCCTTTGGGCAAGCTGGACCTCTTTTAGGTCTTGTGGAATTACCCCCGAACTCCCAAGTTTACCCCTGAAATTTATTTTTCGGAACTGGACTAGCGCGGTCGCGCTAATGGGCGCGCTACTGACCGCGCATATGGCATAACATTCTGCCTCGAACTCCTGGGCTAGCGTGGTCGCGCTAGTGGGCGCGCTAATCTGGGTCATCATTTCAGCCCTTCTTTCTCTTTTCTTCTAACGTACTCAGCTCCAAGGGACTTCCCTTGCTTCAATTTAGCTCTAATTATAGTTCTAAGTCCACATACACGCAACTCACTCCTGCAAAACATGAAATTCACAATTAGCGCCAATTTATCATCATTTAACTATCCTATAACAGTGAAACATAGTCAAGCTGGGGCATAAATAGTCGTCAAATTACGTGAATCTAGCATATTATCAACACCCACACTTAAATTATTGCTAGTCCTCGAGCAATCCACCACACTCTATAAAGGTTCCTTCACTAAGCCTTTTTTTTAAACATATCACACTAAGAACAAAACACCAAAATTACGTCTAGTAGTGAACAATCTTTGCCTCAAAAGTCGACTTTCATGTGCCATGCAATATTCATACTTGCTCAAATTACTCTATAGAGAAGTCAAAACTTACCTTTCCTTCGTGAATCACATGACCTCACATCACACAAGAGAGTAGTTCCACAAATATTAATTTTAAGAACAATGAGGAACTTAGATAGATAAAATTCTCTCACTCTCAAAAGGAACATTCACATGCTACAGAGACGCACCATAGGCTTGCCCGTAGTGTACTACTCTACTAATCAAGCTCATTCAGTCTAAGATCAATTAGGACTTCACTTGGTTGTAATGTAGGCTAAGGGACGGGTAGGATATATTTGGATATAATGACTAACCTCCCTAAGCACTTTTAATACAATCACATTAACCTTCAAAACCATACTTATGTCAACCAGGCATTCCACCACATTTTTATTTCTAACATCCCATTCCATTATGTGCAATTGTATCAAGTCACCACATCAACTACTACATTTACTCATTCATTTTTTTAAGTGGTGCTTATTCTTTTACTTTTCCAAAAACTGCACCTTTCCTCTATTTCTTCGGTTCCACACAAAAACCAAACCACCACCCCACACTTTAGCTTTTGCATATTTCAATACCATTCAAGTGTTTATGGGAGGTAAAAGGGTTCAAATAGATGGCCATTCAAATAATTGGGTAAGGTTCGCAATGTGGTTGCCAAAGAAACAGGCTTAAAGGCTCAACGGGGTTGACTATGATGTATTACATTTAGGTGGGTCTACTTTATATGTCTGACTCAACAAAGAAATGCCTATATCACTTCTAAGACTGAATAAAGCTACTATTTCTCTTTGCAAACACACGGGGCAAGTTCTAGGCATCAAATATAAAACATAGAATATAGTACAACTCACACACACATGGCACATGACTCACTCCAGATTGGTTTATCAAGACACTCTCGTTTGAGTATTCAAGTCAGTTACAAACATACAATTTAAGGCACTTTAGCAAGAATCAACCACTGAGACTAAGTGTTACACTTTAGTGTCTACTATGTTCAGGTGTATCAACGCCAAGGGTTTCTCTTTCTATTTCAGCTCGTAGCCCATCAATACTAACTAAAAACTAAAAATAAAATAAACAAAAACTAACTACACTCGGTTCAAGATTAACCCTTGGAAAAGAATCGTGGCCGAAAGAAAAATCAAAGGGGAGTTGCTACACTACCTAAAACAAAAAAAAACTTTTTGGTATTTTCTTTGGACTTACTTCCCTCAAGAAAACTGTCTAAAAGATCCGTCATTAGGAAGGGTCCCCATATTTCTGTTTTTTTTACGTCGACTTAGACCCTCAAAAACCCCGTCGAAAAAGATCCATCGTCGGGCCAAATCAACTTGTCTACCTTAAGCTTACCTAATGTAACTCTTACTCAAAACACCAAAAATAATCAAGAAGAAACAAAGAAACATCAAACTATCAAATTATTACATATACATACATACATTGAAGTATCCTCCACCCCACACTTAAAAGGAAGCCATGTCCTCATGGCATACAAAATAAAGAATAGTGAGGTAAAGGAACTTCCCTGAAAGATCACTCTTGATCGGAGACCGTGTCTGGGTTCAAATTGCAAGCGCGACCCAGAGCTCTCAACCAGCCCAAAATTTTCTTCTCCGATTTCACCTGCCAGTCAGCCACCCCGTCAACACGGGTACCCAAGTCAATGACCGAGGTACGCAATCTAGCCACATCTTGCTCCAAAACTGTGAACCAGGTAACCCGAGCAGCACTAGATGGTGCTGCAGTCCCAGATGGTGCTGCAGCTACTGCAATTTACTCATGGGCCTGTGGCTCGGCCTCCGCATCCTCCTGCTCAGCCTCTGCATCCTCAGAGTCATCAGAATCACCACTAGCATCACCATCTGCTGCCACCGGCGCCTTACTAGTAGTGACCTTATCAGCTCAGAACTTGTGGTCTCTTGGCACTCTCCCATCTATATCCATATTTTCCGGCACCCGAGCTGCCCGGCAAAGTCTAGTAACCAATAAAGGGAAGAAGAGCCCATACCTTTTTATTGGACAACGGATGAACATCTCCTCATGAATCACTTTGGCCACGTCAAAGTCGTGACCATTAACAAAGTACCAAATCAGAGCCGATCGAGGACCATTCACCTCCGTAGTGTTTGAAGAAGGGATAAGGCGGTTGTTGATAATATACAACTAGCACTTCCCTTCAAAGGTCAGTGCTGAAGAGTGAAACTTCCGACCATACTTCATCCAGATAATATCCTTTCCGGGTACACAGATTGTTTCAAAGAACATCGTTCACTGCGTGTGTGATCTTCCATACCCCTCATAATAGTCAGCATAAGGATCCACAAGAGGGGGCAGCTGGTACATCGTCCGTATAGCCTCAACAGAGGCATCCACCG